ACTGCACAATTGGGACAAGGGCACTCTGCCTTACCTGAACCAGACTGCTGCAACAGCACAAGTAGGCAAAAATGAGCACTCATTACAATCACCGGAGACTGACTGTTAAAGTCACATTTGCACCCACTGAGTCGCCGGCTGGATTCACTCATCCAATCGCCCCAGCGGCCCTGATCACCATGTCGGCACAACCGACAAAGGAACTGACAGTTTCCACAACCGAGACGGGCATGATCTCACTTTCTTTTTAAGCTCAGTCAGTAACACCGGCAGCCAGGTTTAAACGCACGAATTAAGCTGTGACTGCCAGCTGAAAGTGGGAATGTAACTATTAGCCTTTTCAAGGTAAGGACTGTGTTTCACTTCCAGCCAGCAGTCCAGTGTCGGGTCCAGGACTCTCTGGCTGGGCCAGTGTCGGGACACAAATTTCGACGGCTCAGAATCATTCATTGGAGCAGAACTGTTTGACCATGGACTTCGGGTTCAGTGTCGATGATCAACTGTACGTGTGCAGCTCATCCTGCATTTCCAGCAGTGCTTCAATCATGTACTCACGATCCCGGAATGGAGCATAGTAGGCTCGGTGGTTGATCCACCTGACAATGGCTTGTTCCATGGTCATCGAGGCAAAGGCCATGACTAGGACACAATAAGCAGCACAGGTCCTGTTAATGCCACCGTAGCAATGGACAAGCACACGAATTGGCCTCTTCTTGCCTCCACGCTTCCGACCACCTCCCTGAAGCTTCATCGCCTCCAACAAAGCAAGAGCATTACCGAGCTCACCAGGGAATGTCTCATCGGCCACCTTCAAGGCACTCTGCCTTCCATCGGCACTCTGCCTTCCTTCAGCGGCTCTTCCGAACAGGCTGCCCATGTCACTTCCCTTGCTGAAGCCCTTGTCATAGGAGCAGCCATAGCCAAATGAGCCCTTCGTCGATGCCTTCTGGCTTTGCATGTGATTGGAAACCTGACAGGGGCCGCTGTAGCCCTTGCTGATTGTCTTGCCCTTGCCCCTGCCGCCATTGGCCTTGCCCATCATTTTGCCCTTGATGGCACTCTGCCTTTGACTCTGGCTGAACTCCTCTGCTGAGCGCTGCCAGCACATCATAATCTTTCTGAAATCTGAAATGAGGCGGCGCCAAATGGTCTTGAACTCATGACTTCTTTGTTCAGCATCAAAGTCATTGGCATGTGTTTGATCCCAGCCACCATACCGAAGATGTGCAGTGCCAAACGGTCCACAATTCGCCAAATACTGATACCAGTCCCATGGCTCAAAATTCCGAGGTCTGTCATCTGCATTCATAGAGATGACAATGTCAGGCTTGACCCGGAGCTGGTCATATCGGATCGGGCAACCAATACTGCCAACAAACAGTTGCCACTGGGGATGGTCGTAAATCAAAACATCATCCATGGGCCACGTCTCGACATCATGCTGGCATGGCCGAGGTGGCGGGATCGACCCAGGCAGCACATCTGTCTGGCCGGTCCATGCTTTGTACAACTTCATATCCATATCTCCGAAATCTGAGATGGCCTCAACTGCCAATTTGATTCGTTGATCCAATTGTGCAGCCCTTTGGATCTTTCGGAGCCCGGTGGTATAGTCGGCAGCTGATCTGCCACAGTGTAAACAATTCCACCGAAGTTGTTGCACGGCTTCGTTCCAGTAATCACTGCCAAGGTCAATGTGATTGGCCTGATTCTGATGGTCAGCAGCAGAAGTCTGGCACTCTGCCTCGGAACTCCCTGAGCACCTTGAAACGGTCGTCGGCATCACTGCTTTCATCGAGCACCCAATTGTCCAACGATTAAAACATTAACAGTGACTAATGCATCACTATACAGTACATTAACCAATGATATGTAACATTGTGTTACTACTGTTACATCAGTATGAATGAATCACTTGATTCCCTGGCCGGCAGATGTCGATCATGTATGGTGCAAGGCAACTCACTGACAGACTATGCAGGCAGGCAGGCAGGCAGCCAGCCTCGGAGACAGCAGGGTCCTGAGGACGTCACTGCCACCCGGCACTGTGTAGTCAGCATGTCATGCTGGGTAACCTTTTGGAATCCAAGTTGCGCACACTACCGCTGAGGTCTCCAATCGGACAGTCTAGCTCTGCTGGCTAGATCGTCGAATTCAAAATCCTCTAAGCACACGCAAACCCGGCACTCTGCCTTCCCCAACATCCGTAATGCGGTCTCGGAGGCTGTACAAACACGATGAATCACTGATTCATCATTGACGACAGAGCTTCGTCTCGCACGTCATTGTAATATAAAATTCCTGGCACTCTGCCTTCACTGTAATCCTGCATAAATCTCGGAAAGAGTACGTGCAGGATCATATCATTGATATGCCAGTCTACTTGCAAGACATGCCCACGCTCTTCAGAATTCAGAAAGAACCACAATGTCGAAAAGGACTCCTCTAGCAGCGCGTCGAAATAAATCACATAATCATCGTAGTCACTGTCCATGATCGAGGCCACAGTGCTTGCACGCTCATCGGCAACCAGAATCCAGTCCGAGTCCAGAGACTCACTGTCACTGCACGACATCGACGACATCTGCCGGCTTGCAGGGGGGCCTACTACGACTTAGACTAGAGACAGAGCAGGTCGTCGGCATCACTGCTTTCATCGAGCACACAATTGTCCAACGATTAAAACATTAACAGTGACTAATGCATCACTATATAGTACATTAATCAATGATATGTAACATTTTGTTACTACTGTTACATCAGTATGCATGAATCGCTTGATTCTCTGGCCGGCAGATGTCGATCATGTATGGTGCAAGTCAACTCACTGACAGACTATGCAGGCAGGCAGCCAGCCTCGGAGACAGCAGGGTCCTGAGGACATCACTGCCACCCGGCACTGTGTAGTCAGCATGTCATGCTGGGTAACCGTTTTGAATCCAAGTTGCGCACACTACCGCTGAGGTCTCAAATCGGACAGTCTAGCTCTGCTGGCTAGATCGTCGAATTCAAAATCCCCTAAACACACGCAAACCCGGCACTCTGCCTTCCCCAAGATCCGTGATACGGTCGCGGAGGCTGTACAAACACGACAAATCATTGATTCAGTGACGACAGCCATTCGTCTGTCACATTGAAATATAAAATTCCTGGCACTCTGCCTTGCCTAAAATCCCGCAAAAGTCTCGGAAACAGTACGAACATGATCTGTTCATTGATATGGAAGGCTGCTCGAAAGACTTGCCCACGCTCTTTAGAATCCAGAAACATCCACAATGTCGAAAAGGACTCCTCTAGCATCTCGTCGAACGGAATCACATAATCATCGTCGTCAGCACTGTCCGCGACCGAGCCCGCAGTACTTGCACCCTCATCGTCAACCAGAACCCAGTCCGAGCCCACAGACTCACTGTCACTCCACGACATCGACGACATCTGCCGGCTTGCAGGGGGGCCTACTACGACTTAGACTAGAGACAGAGCAGCTGTAACACGACTATAGTAGATTACGCAGGGCAACAGCGAGCACAACTGCTGCAGCGGCAAGTTGCGTTACATGACACGCTCACTGACTATGCAAGGCAGCTTGTCCTCTGCGATGTTGCATGTCCTCAGGATCCTCGTCATGAGCCTCGGTGCCAGGACTGTACCATAATAATGGAAGTAGCTGAAGCAAGCTGATGCTGAGATCCCAGCAGTTGGCATCCACTTCTCGATGGGCTGGAAGCCGATGAAGACCGATGGGAGAGAAGGAAATGGAAGAGAAGGCGTTCACTAGGCTTGGATTCAAACCGAACACTTAGACCTGGCCAACGGTGTGGGGAGCAACCCCGATGGGGCAGGGACTTAAGTAAGGCAACCTCGAGAGGCTCGACTGGCACTCTGCCTCTGTCGATCCAAGTCGCAAGGCTCCCTAACTAACGTGACAAGCATGGATGGCCTCCCCTCCTGGTTGGGAGAAAAATAAAAAAGCCACAACCACTGGACCACCCCACCCGGCACTTTAGCCCATGTGCCCGGGTGTCATATGCCACTGCCCTGGCACGTTGGCCCCAAGGCGGTCCAGGTACCATCGACAACACCTGACACCCGGCCAACGGTGTCCACGAACCGAGATGGGCAGTCGATCCGTGTGGGTAAGGTGGCACTCTGCCTCTGTCGATCCAAGTCGCAAGGCTCCCTAACTAACGTGACAAGCATGGATGGCCTCCCCTCCTGGTTGGGAGAACAAATCAAGCCGCAACCACTGGACCACCCCACCCGGCACTTTAGCCCATGTGCCCGGGTGTCATATGCCACTGCCCTGGCACGTTGGCCCCAAGGCGGTCCAGGTACCATCGACTCAGCACCTGACACCCGGCCAACGGTGTCCACGAACCGAGATGGGCAGTCGATCCGTGTGGGTAAGGGCAAGGTCTCAAGGCAAGTCAACATGTCACTACGGCCTCCCTTCTTTGTTCAATCACAACCAAAACTATTTAAAAGGATTAAATATTAACTTCAACAACAAATAAAACAACAAATTTGTGTGACATACAGCAGCAGGAAACCAGGTAGAACAACAGGAAGCCATTTGACTCAATCCGAAACAACAACTCATAATTCACAAACATGTTTTTTTTACACCAAAAATAAAAATAGAAGAATTTTAAAAACTGTAAAACACAAACAAATTATTAAAAAAACTTTTAAATACAAAACAACACTTTTAAATACAAAAAAAAACTTTTAAACACAAATAAAGCCAACCACATACAAAAATAAGATTTTGGGTTCCTTTCATATAAGCCTTGTTGATCTAAACCCTGTGGTTCTGGTTCGGCGCAAAGGGTTAAGGAATATATTCCCCAATAATAGTCCCCACCCATTGCCATCCATTGCCACATTCCCTGCTAAGAACCAGACAGCCTACAAAGAGCCCTAAACCCCTGTAGTATAACCCTTATAGTAGCCCTTATAGTAACCCTTAAAGGAACCCCATTCCCTACTAAGAACCAGACAGCCATGCCCTGGCGGCGCTGCTCGTTCCGGGCTTGAGGGCAGTCGGAGGGCTGGAGCTCCTACTGCCGAGGAGAGCAGACGATGAAGGGCACTAAATAATAACCAAAACTCTTGTGGGGGGGGTTCCTTATTATGATTATAGGGTTCCTTATGATAATTATAGTATAATGGGCCCCAACACCCTATTCTAACTATCATGAACGGGCGAAAGACCTCCTTCCCCGCAGTATAGGAGGCTTTGGGTATATGATAGCATCATAAGTGATAACCTGGGGTTCTTTTGGACGTAGTGATATGTAGTGATGCAGCACCGCGATTTTGATTGGTACTGCTGTCATTACCCTCGTTTGTATGGTCCGGAGACTTGGGCAGCCCCAATCTGCCCCTCTGCTCGTTTTCATCACGCAGGCTCGAAGCTCCTTGCTGACGTCATGCGTGATGCAGCTAGACCTGCTCGAAGGGGTCATGATTTCAGCAAGAGCAGAAAGAGCTGCTCACTGCTCAAAACAACGAGAGGGCTTGATAAGCAGAAGCGAAATACTCGACAAGGACTGTTGAATTCGGGAAAAAGGAGCCTCCAACCGCCCGGGAGCGCTGCTGATGCCGTCGGGCCGCCATGACCTGGGACGTCAGTCTTCGAGCTCGGTGGTGCTCTTGATTCTTACATCTAGTCGAGCCTTGATCCGGAAGGAGAGAGAGCGGGAGAGAGACAACCGGAGAAGATTAAGACTGTGCTAGTACCGAGCCTTGCCGTTGTGGTCACTCGCCACTACAAATACCATCGTGATGTTGGGTGTGATGCCTATGATAGAGGAGACGGCCGCATTTTGGTGCGATGTTACTATTGAAAAGGCTACGAGTATTTCCATTCATACCGATATGCGATCAGCTTCACGTTGCGTGCCACACATGCAGTGCAAGTTTGAATCGCACTATGAAGACTACTCTTTTCGTTCATGCATACACACACATATATACATACATATATACATATGTATACATCGTCTACCAGACATGTATGTGTGTATGTATATATATATATATATATAATGTCAAAGCAACCACTCATGTAATCTTAGCTTGATACCCTGTTTGCTAAGACGATTCTTGCAACTGAGGCGGGAGCTGGGCCTCGAGCTGCGCGGTGCATGGCAGCGGCCTGTGGGGCGCAGCAATCAAGAAAAGGGGGGAAAGGGAGGGGTTAGGGTTTACCAGGAGCCCCCAAGTACCTTTAAAGGGCTCTGATATTTCTCATTCAGAGGTTATGAGGGCCTACATTAAAGGGTAGTTTGGGGGGTCTAGGCTTAGGGTTTAGGGGCTTTGGGTTTAGGGTTGCAAGGGTTTAGGGGTTTAGGGATTTAGGGTCTTTTGGGTTTAGGGAGTTAGGGTTCAGCGGTTTGGGGTGGAAGGATCTCAGTTTAGGGCTTAGGACTAGGATTAGGATTACCGTGCTTTGATAAGCAGCATCATGGTGGGAGCTTACTATGTTGTGCCAGCGGGAAGAGAGCTTGCGAGCCTCCTCCATCATGAAAGCCAGGCGTTCGCGACGCCTGTCCACCTCGGGTGAACCGGGAAGACTTGCTTTTGCATTTCTGAGAGGAGGAAAGCTCTTTCTCTTCGTCGCGATTCTCCCTACATCTTAGCCGTCATACTTTCTCATCACTAGTAGAGTAGTGTCTGCATTACGTTGCAAAGTATAGAGTTTGTGTACAAGCATCGAAGAACTGCTTATAGGGTTGCAGTTTAGGGCTACTCTTCAAGGAGAAGCATGAAACCATCACAAACAAATGAGGTTTTAGCATCGTGACAGTAGCAGCAATCATAGTTTCGCACATAAAACACAATCGAAGCTCGGCGGCTGTGTGGGAGCATGGTGCGCTAAACGGGGCTTCTCCTCTACCCTAAGACCGATTCAGGGAATTCTTGAGACCATCTGCATTTGCTCAAGTATGCAGTAAACACAAACAGATACCAAAGGAACACAAAGAGATCCGAAGAACGACAACATGTGCTTGTGGAAATCTATACATACATACAGTAAAACTATTCTAGTCATATATGATATATATATATATATATATACATATATATTGACTGCCTAGACCAGTCCAGCACTCCCACAAAGCCTACCTAAAAGCCAGAAACCCAAACCTTACACCCACATCGATCCCAAGCCTACATCCACAAGCAGTAAAGTAAGTTGGAAGACTACAAAACCAAACCTAGGCCCCGGGCCATGAAACATTTGGGCCCGAACTGTTGAACTCGATACCCTGCGTCCTTAGCCCAAACCCGCAGCGTCTCTCCTAAAACTTAAACCCTGAACCCTTAATTCAGGAATGTACCTTAAATTATATTAGGGATCCTACTACTATGATTTAAGGTATACCCAAACTGCACAGCGTCTCTCTCAGAACCCTGCCGGCGACAGCTGCCTCTCGAGAGCCGAAAGCTGGCGTCGGAAGGCCGCGAGTCGGGCCTGACTCCGAAACAGCAGACAAGCTATAAGAAGCCAGGGATCTGTAAGGGATCGATAAGGGATCCATAAGGGATCTATAAGGGATCCGTAAGGGATCTGTAAGGGATCTGTAAGGGATCTATAAGGGATTTGTAATTTGTAACCTTTACCGAAAAAAAACTTACCCTTTTGAGGAACTCTATGTAGAAACCATCATAAGGAACCTTAACAAGGTAGGTCTTTTCGTCTACAGGTAAGAGTAAGGGATCTATAAGGGATCCAGAGGGTTTAGGGTTCAGGGGCTCCTGCCCCCTCATGTCTCGCTTCAACATGGACGCTCCCGTCGCTATGATTCAGTTGCCTGGGCTTGTTAACGACTCAGTCTTGCTCGTATACCTTGATGGTCTGCTCCACCAATTCGGCCAACCCAATTACACTTCTGCCGGCTCTCAAGTCGCTGGGCCTGGAACTTGGCAGAACTCTCCGACTTAACAGCAGCAGGGACTGCCTGACAGGACTTCGAGCGATTCGAGGAGGACAGACAGTCTGGGGCTATGCTAGGGAGCAATCTTGTAAGGTGAAAACTGCCTTCAGAAGGTCAGAAAGCTTTGTGTGCTCGTGCGAAGTCTGTGCATAAGGAATCAGAACTGACGGCCGATCACGGGTCCGCCTGGATTGTCTGTCTGAAAGGCTGGCTAGAACTCAAAAGGCTCAAGGCCGCGCATGCGCTCTTACCGGACTATCAAGCTGAATGAAGATATGCGCGTCCAGACATCCGAAGCAGCGGCAAGCCTGACGCAGCACCGAGTAGCGGCATGGTCGTTACTGATTGCTGAATATTCCTTCATGCTTATTGAAGAAACCCTGCCGACCCCTGAAAGCACAAGACCTTAGCTCGAGTTGAAACCCTGAACCAAAAGTCCAAAGCAGTAACACCTACATGCCGTACTAATCCCTCAATCAACCGCATCCTGAACCCCTTCCCTGGATCCAGACCCTGCCACCAAAAACCTAAGTTCCCGAAAACTGCCAGACTCCCAGAATAACCTGAAGAGCCCGATCCAGACCTTTTGGACTCTCCTTATGCATACATACATACATATGGAGACATGCACATATGTTTTATGTGTGTATATACATACATACATACATAACTACATACATACATATATATATATATAATACACATCTATTTATTAGCTTGCCGCCTGAGGCTCCTGGAGAGGCTCCGTGAACGCCGCCTCTGGCTCGGGTTTCCGCCGCAGCCGCGCTGCGGCGTCGGAAGGCAGGTCCTGCTTTCCCACAGGGCTCGAGGGGTTTGGAGTTTAGGCTTTATTTAGGGTTTGGGGTTTCGGGTTTGGGGTTTAATCTAGGGTCTGGGGTGTCAAGGTTTCCTATTGAAGGCCGTGGGAGTTGACGATGGTAGAACACTTGCCCACAATATAATATTGTATAACATATAGACTAATTGAATACAGCAGAACATTACACGATACACAGCCCGAGCAATAAGCAGAACCTCCGGCAAAGCCGTGTAAAGTGCAGACATGACTTCGCGAGTACCCCGTCCCGAAATGAAGGCTGGGAGGACTGTGCTAAGGTTCAGGGTTATGCGGTTTAGGGTTATGGAGTTTGCGAGGCAAAACCTCCCGTTGCCAGCGACTTCATGCACGATGCCCGTATCATGATGCCCCTATCATGATCTAAACCTTGCATCCCCCCGACGATCTCAGATGCCGAAGAGAGAAGCCACAGTGAGCCTGAATGATCTTCTGGACGACGCGCTCCTAGCAGAGGAGAACATTCCGTAAAGCTTGCAGCAAGCCAACCAGAGCCAGTCCTAATGGCAATATAACCATCATGACTATGACAACGGCAAAAAATACCGAGAACAAGACCAATCGTAGAGATCTTATAGTTTCCTGCCAAACTCTCGGAGCTCCCTGCTTGCAACTACAAACAACCCCCCCCCCCCTTGACGAGCATGAAATCCTCGAGGCTCTCATCCCACCATGCAGCGGCCTCGCCAAGCACTTGCACTTGTCACGGTCCCATGACTAGTGAGCGTCTCTGCTAAACATCGTTCAGCAGGAGTTTGTTGGCATGCTGCAGGAATGAGGTGCGCGAGGTGGAGCTTTAGGATGCTTTAGGAACGACAAGGCGAAGTTCACAAGCCGGAACATCTTATGAAGAGCCCTAAACCCCCATAACCTTGGCTCTTGAGCTATGGAAAGCCTCATGAAATTGCATGAAAGCTGCCAAGTTTCCGGAAAACCACACAAATCCTGAACCCAGAGCCAAAATCCAAAGACCTCGAATAACCTCATAACCCTTCGACCCTGTGAACCGGCGCGCCAGCCCTTCAACGTGAGTCCTAACCTACCGTTAAGGCAAAAAGCCTCAAACTATAGGGAGATGCATGTTCTGACTACGGGTAGTGGCCCCTTTTTGGGTACCCTGTGTTCCTTAGTTAAGAAATCTTGGAGTCTCCGCAAATGCCTACTCCCAAAAAATAAAGAATGAAAATCATAAGGACCCTTAGGGGGGTAGGGTGGAGGGGGTAGGGGGCCGTAGCACCTATTATTGCCTATAATAAGGACTTGATTGATGATAAGGCCTCCTAGAGCCTCAATACTTAGAATAGGGCTTAAGACTTGCAGCGTAACTACAATTACAATAATATATACTATAATCATTCAAGACCCTATAAACCCTCGTTCAGGACACTTTGCCCGCTCCTAAAACCCTGAAACCCTGAACCCCCAATGTAGAGGCCTCAATAATGAGACTAACCCCCATTCAGGACGCTCTATATCCCTCTCAAACCCTGCAACCCTAAACCCTACAACCCTCAACCCTACAACCCTAAACCCTACAACCCTCAACCCTACAACCCTAAACCCTACAACCCTAAACCCTACAACCCTACAACCCTAAACCCTACAACCCTAAGCCCTACTACCCTAAACCCTACAACCCTGGTACCCATCACATCCCCCCTCCGGGCCGGCCTTTCTCCTAGGGCGACCTTTGGCCTTCCGGGGAGACGAAGCCGCCCGAAAGGGGAGCTCCTAATGAGACGATGCTCTTGGGGACTTGGGGTTTAGGGCTTAGGGGACTTAGGGTTATGGAATGGAACGAATTATCACGGGGGGACGCAGGGCTATAGTTTTTGGATGAGGGTTCAGGGATTGGGGGTTTAGGGTTTAGGCTCTTTCAATTCAAGCCTAAACCGAAGCCTCTAGTTGCTCTGGCTAGATTTGGGCTCCGGGCTTTGGGGGTTTAGCCTTAGCTTTCAGGGTCCCTTGAAGCTTCTGCCTCAGAGTGGAAGCAGTGGGCATTGGAGGACTGATCCCTCGAGCTCTGTTTCTGACATCAGACCCCGAAGCCCGAATATCCTAAACGATTTTGAATCCTTCGCGCGCACACACAGACACCGTCTCACGGTGGCCTCGAGAAATCGTCGCCGCTCTTGATCCTCTGAAAGAAGACGGGGCAAGAGATCCACAAATGCGCGGTGCCGAAGTTGCAGGTACTTCTACCAAACCCTCAAGATCTGGACGGAACAGAGCAGATGAGAGCTTGCTCATGGCAAGACAACATGGACAGACTGCAGGAAAGCCATAGAAGGAGATCAGCTCAGGATTCGAAGAACAGAAACAAATTACCGTGGCGACTTGCTGATCACTACAAACCTGTTGAGACGTCTCGCCTGAACGTCCGCACCAAGCTTCACACCAAGACTAGTGTGGGGCGATCTTCAGGTCTTCGCAGATTATAATCGTGATAGTTCATGTTGAACAATAAGTATCAATATGTATTGTGAGTCACGATAGTAATGCATGTATTATGACTTAATGATAACTAATAACAAGTAGTGATCGGTGGCTCCATGCCAAACAAGTCTTAGCATGCAAACATCAACACCGGAAAGCACTCTCAGTGTGGCCCGTGCCGTTGGGACGATTGCCGGCAATGTCAACAGCAAGTCTCACAGCCGCTTTGCTCCGCGAAGCTTTTGCCACGATGTTTCTGGCTATGCCACCCAACGGCCCAACAACAGATCCGCAACGTCTTCAGTGCCTCCCGCTACCAGTACCGTCAGGACACGACCTGCCCGTGTCACATGCGACGGACTCACCTAGACGTCCCGTGCCTGGCAAGGAGATTGGACAGGAGATACTGGTGCTCTAAACCGAGGGAGACTTGAGACACTCATAACAAAAACAAACTAAGATAGTGCATTCAGCACTTGAAGCAGACTCAAAGAAATTTCAGGATGGCACAGTGAGGTATGCCCATGCTACACATGCATGACTCCGCAACAGTCTCAGCGCCTAGACGTCCCGTGTCAAGCAAAGAGATTGGACGGGAGATACTGGTGCTCCAAAAACACGCAACACGTCACATGCTCACAAAGAGATCCTGCTCTCAGCGCTTGAACTACTTGTTCAGGGAGCTTTTATCAGGGTGCCCCAGTGAGTCTGCCCATGCCACACATGCCGGACTCCGCAACAGTCTCAGCGCCTAGACGTCCCGTGTCAAGCAAAGAGATTGGACGGGAGATACTGGTGCTCCAAAAACACGCAACACCTCACATGCTCAAAAAGAGATCCTGCTCTCAGAGCTTGAACTACTTGTTCAGGGAGCTTTTATCAGGGTGCCACAGTGAGTCTGCCCATGCCACACATGCCGGACTCCGCAACAGTCTCAGCGCCTAGACGTCCCGTGCCGAGCAAAGAGATTGGACGGGAGATACTGGTGCTCCAAAAGCACCCAGCACTTCACATGCTCAAAAAGAGATCCTGCTCTCAGCGCTTGATCTAGTTGTTCAGGGAGCTGTTATCAGGGTGCCACAGTGAGTCTGCCCATGCCACACATGCCGGACTCCGCAACAGTCTCTGCACCTAGACGTCCCGTGCCAAGCAAAGGTTTGGACGGGAGATACTGGTGCTCCAAAAACACGCAACACTTCACATACTCAAAAAGAGATCCTGCTCCCAGCGCTTGATCTAGTTGTTCAGGGAGCTGTTATCAGGGTGCCACAGTGAGTCTGCCCATGCCACACATGCCGGACTCCGCAACAGTCTCTGCACCTAGACGTCCCGTGCCAAGCAAAGAGCTTGGACGGGAGATACTGGTGCTCCAAAAACACCCAGCACTTCACATGCTCAAAAAGAGATCCTGCTCTCAGCCCTTAGACTAGTTGTTCAGGGAGCTTTTATCAGGGTGCCACAGTGGATCTGCCCATGCCACACATGCCGGACTCCGCAACATTCTCTGCACCTAGACGTCCCGTGCCAAGCAAAGGTTTGGACGGGAGATACTGGTGCTCGCCCTGCTCCCAAATCGAACAACACTTCACTTGCTCAAAAAGAGATCCTGCTCTCAGCCCTTAGACTAGTTGTTCAGGGAGCTTTTATCAGGGTGCCACAGTGAGTCTGCCCATGCCACACATGCCGGACTCCGCAACATTCTCTGCACCTAGACGTCCCGTGCCAAGCAAAGGTTTGGACGGGAGATACTGGTGCTCCAAAAACACGCAACACTTCACATACTCACAAAGAGGTCCTGCTCTCAGCGCTTGAAGAAGTTGTTCAGGGAGCTTTTATCAGGGTGCCACAGTGCGTCTGCCCATGCCACACATGCCGGACTCCGCAACATTCTCTGCACCTAGACGTCCCGTGCCAAGCAAAGGTTTGGACGGGAGATACTGGTGCTCACCGTGCTCCCAAATCGAACAACACTTCACTTGCTCAAAAAGAGATCCTGCTCTCAGCCCTTAGACTAGTTGTTCAGGGAGCTTTTATCAGGGTGCCACAGTGAGTCTGCCCATGCCACACATGCCGGACTCCGCAACATTCTCTGCACCTAGACGTCCCGTGCCAAGCAAAGGTTTGGACGGGAGATACTGGTGCTCACCGTGCTCCCAAATCGAACAACACTTCACTTGCTCAAAAAGAGATCCTGCTCTCAGCGCTTGATCTAGTTGTTCAGGGAGCTGTTATCAGGGTGCCACAGTGAGTCTGCCCATGCCACACATGCCGGACTCCGCAACAGTCTCTGCACCTAGACGTCCCGTGCCAAGCAAAGAGATTGGACGGGAGATACTGGTGCTCCAAAAACACCCAGCACTTCACATGCTCAAAAAGAGATCCTGCTCTCAGCGCTTGAACTAGTTGTTCAGGGAGCGTTTATCGGGTGCCACAGCGAGTCTGCCCATGCCGCACATGCCGGACTCCGCAACATTCTCTGCACCTAGACGTCGTGTGCCAAGCAAAGGTTTGGACGGGAGATACTGGTGCTCACCGTGCTCCCAAATCGAACAACACTTCACTTGCTCAAAAAGAGATCCTGCTCTCAGCCCTTAGACTAGTTGTTCAGGGAGCTTTTATCAGGGTGCCACAGTGAGTCTGCCCATGCCACACATGCCGGACTCCGCAAAATTCTCTGCACCTAGACGTCCCGTGCCAAGCAAAGGTTTGGACGGGAGATACTGGTGCTCCAAAAACACGCAACACTTCGTTTTGAGAACCTGCTCTCAGCGCTTGAACTAGTTGTTCAGGGAGCTTTTAGCAGGGTGCCACAGTGAGTCTGCCCATGCCACACATGCTGAACTCCACAACATTCATCAACATTCTCTGCAACTAGACGTCCCGTGCCAAGCAAAGGTTTGGACGGGAGATACTGGTGCTCATCAAGCGGGAAGCAAGTCATGTCATCGCAAGACAAGAATGCGATGGAGTCAGCAAAAATGGATCAATTTGCTTCAGTTGGTAGATGTCATAGTGTTCAACCTACTGTACCAGTCGTCTCTGCTCCAACCAGGGGTTCTTTCGTGATCGCACATATCTGTTCGCTTCGGCTTGGGGCTTGCCCCTCAGCTCAGCAGCCTCAGCACTCATCCCGACCGGAAGGGTGTCATAAGGGCCTTCTGACACTAGTGGGAGAACATGTTCCCTTCAGTTCCCTTCCTTTTTCTGTGCAAGGCCTACACGCCTACACCGGTCCTCGTCCGCATCAGAGCTATGAAGCTGACTCATCTGAAGCCTCGGCACATCCCCAAGAGGGCCTTAAAACTCTGAAGCAAGAGATGAGAGTGCTAGGTACTCTCTTATGGTTTAGGGATTGTTCGAGAGCTGCTATGAAAGTTTTAGCTCTTTTATTGCCAGTCCTAGTCCCTCTTAATCGAGTGTCGTCTTGCCGGTCGCGCTTAGAGGCAACACCTGTTGGAGAGTCAGGAGCATGCCTGGCAGGAATGTTTTCTAGGAGTGGCCATGCCCTTCCCTGCCACACTGCATGAAGGAGCCCGAGCCAGCATCCGAGAGCACCAAGGTTAGCTCAACATGGGACGCTGGCAGTGCCGCGCAAATTCCACAATGAACCCTACAAGCCCAACACCGCGACTGAGCCTTGATCCTCACAGGTCATGTAGGCCCTGAATCCGAGAAAAACCCTACGAACGCTCGCAAGATTCCGAAGTCAGAAGCCCGAAATTGGCAACCAATCCCGCCTTGGCACATTCTTGGTAGCGAAGGCTCGAGCGAGGGCTTCTAAACGGGAGTAGGAAAATGGCTGAGGGTTGAGGCTACAGATGGCTACAGTTTGATATCTGGGAGTTGAACCTAGGAAAACGTGTGGTTCCTGGGATTGAGATTGAAAACGTGTGGTTCCTCATGGTCTCCAGTGCTCAAGCCCAGATCAAGCCGAGACATGCCGAGACAATGCCAGGTCCGGACACTCTGTTGTCGGCAGACAGCAACGTCTGCTTGCAGGCAGTACAAGTACCATGAAGAAGCCCACACTTTGCCACATGACCATCGTCCTTAAAGAGTAGCCGAGTAGCCAAGAAGCTAAAGGGATGCAAAACGTGTATGCAGGGGGTGAGACTTGGCTGCGCACCTCCCTGGCTAATTTGGCCCTGTCAACTCTTCCCAAGCACAGGGAAGCTAGAATCGGCCGTCACGAAGTCGATCATGTCGCTCGAAGCCGCGGCTGGACTTCGTGAAGTCCGGGATGGAGGCTGCAGCCCGCAGAGCGCTGGCAGTCGAGGTGCCGGCATCCAGTTCGGGAAGAAGGCCCTTGGAAGAGCCCGTGCCGGCCCGCGCCCGAGCACGGGAGGCGCTGGGAGTGCTGGACTCGAGCCCAGGAAGAGCAGGAAGACCTGGAAGGCTTGGGCTCGAGCTGGTGGCGTTCAGCCGGTGGCGTGGGTAGCCCGGGAGGCCTGCATGTCGCATGGGTTGCCTGGGCTCCGGATGAGCGGACTGCCACCGGTATGTGAGCACCTCCTGCAGTTGAACAAGGCTCAATGGATCCAACTGGCGGTGGCACACAGAGGCGATGGCATGCTCGCCATTCATGGGCTCGCCCCATCCGACTTTCCAGCTCATGGCCAGGGAAGGCCGAGGGAAGCAAGTGCTTGGGGCAGCTTTTCGGGCAGATGCTCTAGCAGGCTCAGATTTCAGATGGACAGTGGAGGGCAGTATGGAAATTGTGATAGAACTTGGTGGGTGAACTTTGGTCCTGGCCTCAGGCTAAACGCTGCTGCGCGCGCCACCAAACTAACTACTGGCACTGAAGCCAAACGAAACAGTCATGCATGAATATTCCATCACGACAAGCAAATCGTAAACCGAAGTTGGCCCCCAGATGCGCGAACTCAGAAGTCTGATGCCAGAGAACAGCTCTCGAAACGCACAATGGCACGGCGTGCAACGCGGAACAACGACTCACCGAGTAGGACCCATCGACCTGCCAGAACCGCCTAAACCCCACTAAGCTGAAGCTACATGCCTGGCCGTCAGTACCTTCGGCTGTTGAGGTTTGCAGCGTATACTGTAACCGAGTATGGGCCGGTGTAGAAATCATGGGACATGCCAGCGTCAGCTCCAAAAGCGTGCACATGCCGACAACTGTTTTCTTGCGACGGATCGTCTGTGGATGTCTGTGGTACTGTCTTCGAACTGTCTGCTGTGATCTGAAATTCTCTTAAACTGGTAAACACAGAGCCACTATGGGCCACTCTTGCTGTCGAGTAGACGGTCGTGCGGCACACCCTCTCGTCGCCGACTTGGGCAGAGACGAAAGGCACTGCAGCACGCATGGAACTTGTCTCATTGGACGCGCCACACGATAGAAAATCTGTACATCTCCGTATCGCAATCTTTGCCATCCGCTGTCTAAAGGACGAGCAGAGAAAGACACTAGCCAGGGCTCACTTGCCGAACATGTGGAGGGACTTGCCCACAATCACACAGAAAGTCAGGCTGGCGCAAACTGGAGCCAGAATGCTCGCGTGAGCTGACCCACTGCCCATGCACGGGTACTCGCGGCCAATCGTGTATCCTGACGGCAGAATACTTACAAGCATCGATGATGATCCTTACCACTATGGACATTCATACTGACATGACAACTACTGTCATTGGTACTACAAGTATAGGATAGTGTAAGTACCTACTTCGTGCTTTAAGTGTTGTTACTGTTCGCTGTCTCGTTTGTGGTTGTTGTTTTGTTGTTTTGTAGTTTTGTGGTGTCACTGTCGTGGGATTCTGCAGGGTGTTATGTGGTTTAAGGGGTTTACTGGAGCTTCGCAAGGGTTTGTCTGGAATCTTCGAGGGTTTTCATTGGATATCGAACGGTTCAAAACGGATTTGGAAGGACATGATTTTGGGAGGTTTTATGTCAATGTGATGTTGAAGGGCTTCAGTGGGATTTTGACTGGCCTTAGTGGGATTTCAAAAGGGTTTAAATTGGATTTTGAAGGGTGGGGTTTGGAAGGGTTTTGATGGTGCTTACTAGTAGGATGGTTTTAAAAAGGGTTTGTGGCATGTGAAGGGGATTTAGCAAGATCTCAATGCTTTGGAAAGCGCGGGCCCAAACCCCAAAATCCCGAAACCAGAAGACCGCAAGTTCTTAAGCCTAGACGACCGTGAACCCTGGACACGTACTGTACGCGCCTGACAATGCTTGAAAATACTCTGAAAATGCTTGGAAATCTTTGGAAACGAAAACCCAAGGAAATTCTATACAAATCGTTGAAAATCCATTGAAAACCTTGGCAATCGATGGAAAATCCTGGGAAATCGCAAATCCTTCAAACCCTGCACACCGCAGCCGATTTGCTGTTGTTGGGGTATAAACATGACGTGGCTAATGTACATCAAGCAGATATATGATATATATATATATATATAGATTGACGGGGCTACGGTTTTTGGTTGTACCTTGTTATTCTTCTTATGATTATCATCATAATTATTGTTGTTGTCGTTGGATGGGGTGGTTGGTGTGTGTGTGTGTGTGTGTGTGTGTGTGTGTGTGTGTGTGTGTGTGTGTGTGTGTGTGTGTGTGTGTGTGTGTGTGTGTGTGTGTGTTTGGGTGTGTGTGTGTGTGGGTGTGTGTGTGTGTGTGTGTGTGTGTGTGTGTGTGTGTGTGTGTGTGTGTGTGTGTGTGTGTGTGTGTGTGTGTGTGTGTGTGTGTGTGTGTGTGTGTGTGTGTGTGTGTGTGTGTGTGTGTGTGTGTGTGTGTGTGTGTATTGATTTGTTTGTCGTTTGGCGCTTGTCGTTTGTTGTTGTCGTTGCTGCTGCTGTCGTTGCTGCTGTGGTTGTGGTTGTGGTTGATGTTGCTGTCGTCGGCGCGAGCATCATTCTCATGTTTGCCACTATTGAACACTATTGCTCTTGTTCACATTGAGATACTCCAACTTTCTTTCTGTTCTTGTCTCAGAATCGTCGTTATTGCAGCGCTTCATAACTGTGGGAACCTTTCGAGTCCCTCGCCCGAGCATGAAAGTCCTCGGCCAGACTCCGAGTTCTGAACCGGGGCTTGCGACTGGAAAGGAAGAGGAGACCCGGTACCTGCTTGGGCACTGCTTTCGGCTTCAAGTTGCTTAGGGTACACTGATGTATAGTATAGGGTTCGTCTAAGAGCAAAGAGCTCACATCGCAAGTAACACAGGTTTAGATAGGGTTGAAGCAAAGTATACGGCCACAAACACGCTGAGGCTTCTTGTGGCAAGGCGCTGCGCGCGCGAATGCGGGCCACAATGGTGCTGACGGAGCTCTGCTGTGCGAGTTCACAAGCCTGCTGTCCTGCCAGACTCCGAGCACGAGACACAGACAGAACAAAGGGCAGACGATTGCTAATGCGAGGCATCAGTCGCTACTACCGTGACTGCAGCGCACGCACACATGCATATCCCATCAGTGATGTCGGCATTACAGGGTGCTTGGCCTGGCTGCTGCATGCTGGCTACAGTTGCAAGGAGAAGCGGACCAAAATGCTAAGGGTAACTCTACGCACAAACAGCCGTGTGCCCAAACGGCCGCAGAAGGACTCATGCAACGGACAACAACATGCAACATCCTAAGCAGTATCACCATACAACGCGGAGTATTGGCTGTTGAGGTACCCCATGCAAGCTCCAGCATCGCAGGCTTTAGGCAGACTGAACAGCAACTGGAAGCCTTTGAGCTTTCGTTCAGATCTTCTGACTTCCGCGACACAAGATACTGCATTTTGTAGATCTTCTCAGCTCCGCCAAGAGACTTAGTCACGGATAGTAGCGTCTGTGGCGTCTGTGATCCGATACCCTACGTGGCTGGTGAGCTTCCGGAGCCTCGAGTCGGATCTCGGCTTCAGGACTCCCAGCCCCTGGTACAAGCGCAGCTCTGCAGCAGCCTGTACAAAACTGCGCTGCAGCTCCAGCTCGAGACCGGCTTGCCCTTGGCCCCTGGGGCCCCTGTACTTTGGCAGCAAGCCGAGACTGTACAAATCTACACAAGTCTGAGTCCCGCTTCCCGCTGCACTCGCTTGCACCTGAAGTGGCGCTCCGTGGACTTCAAACGCCGAGCCCCGAGAGTGCAGCCGGCATATTGCAGGTCTGGACCTCGAGTTCGCAGAGTTCAGCGCAAGGGAGGCGATGAAAGACGAGAGCGCCGAGTCCGAGTTCCGGACGCAGCCCTGCCAGGAGCTGCTGTACGGTCGGACCTTCTTCTTGCCGCTCGCGATGAGCCTGCGCAGCTGCAGCTGAGCCCCTGAAGGCACACCCGGTGTGCCCGCTTTCGGTGGTTTCTGGGCTCCAAGTGCTTCAGATTCAGCTCCTGCAACGCAACCTAGTACTGGAAAGATTTGATTACGCCATGCTTACTGACCCTCTGCAGCCCCATGCACTCCTCTTCCCAAGGATCCTAACAGCCCTAATTCTAAGCTCCCTTACACTCTTCATGCTGCCTCGAGGGAAGCATGCAGACTATGTTGTGCATCGCTCCGACCTGGGAATCCAGAAAGCTCGGACAAAGGACTGTCTATGGTTCTTAGTAGGGAGTGGGGGAATGGGTTATTGGGACCATTATTGGGGATGATATAGGGACTGCTGTAGGGATCCATCCATTCCCCCATCCCCTACTAAGCACCAGGGAGAGAAGGAGAAAGGACGAGAAAGGTGCTCAATCAAGCGGCACAAACCCCGGTGTATCCCCTCATGGCCGTGTGCACCGCATCGTTGGCCAGGCGAACGCAGTAGATGTGGTCGTTCGGAGTAATGGGCACTGATCGGATTATGTAGGAAGGGTCGATGTAGAAGGTGCGGCCTCCAGAAGCTTTCCTTGCGAGTCACAACAAAGGCAGCTTGAGCGCCGCTTATCAAGCACAAGTGTGTTGACGATTGTCGGGGCACAGCATAAACCTCGAGCGAACGACTGAAACAATACTACTCGATCCCTGGGTACAAAGTAAATGCAGCTTGGAATCAAATGCTTGTTGAGGGTGTCCTTCAGGAATACACCGATATCACCATAGACCGTGTGCCCAGTGTCATCCTGCTTCCCAGTGGATACAAGCTCTTGCCCGGCACCCTCTGCGACTGCAATCACCATGTACTTCTTCTTGGCCAGAGTCGCATCGACATGCTCGATGACATCTTTCATATCCACCTTCACCTCTGGGATCATGCAAAGGTCCACAACATCTGCGGCAGTGGCCGCGTGCATGGCGACAAAGCCAGAGTCTCGACCCATGAGCTTGACAATGCCCACACCTGAGGACGATGTTTGAGGCTCTGCCTTACAGGAGCCCAAGACCTCTCGACTCCCTACCTGAATTCGTCCGCCTCCGTCTCTGGGCATGTCTCACCATGTTCTGAAAAGCCACAGTAACAGCTGCAATCGTTTGGGCCGTCAACGCAGTTGCCATTGATGTCTATGTGCAACTGTATAAAATGCAGACCGTCGTACGACAACAAGTGCAATGACAACTACCGCACTCTCTCCTTCCATCACGACCACGAGTACAATAGACAAACGAAGTATGCACAGACCAATACGGGTGAGCTCTTGAGTTTGTGCTCCCTCTGCTTTGGTCATACTGCTGCTGTCTGTCCAAGGCCTCGATCGCAGCTGCTGGCTTCAACCAAGGCATTCCGGATCACTTCTGATGCCTCGAAGAGCTCAGAGGTTACGGCATAGGATAGGGTTACCTGCTGTACAGTACCGGTATCTTGCTGTAGGGCGCCGATCTTGTATGGGGTCCCTATGAAGACCCTGTACAATCAGGGAGTGGTGCTTGTTGGTTAAGGCCGATGCCATGCAGCGTTGGGTGCAGTCTTTGCATGGTTTCAACTTCTCTTGGCCGCAGAGGCGGTAAACAAGCTCGGCGCCGATGTGTTGATTATTGTGGTATTTTCCTAGCATTTCATAGATATTGGATGGCGCTCTGATGTATGGAGCTCCCATGGCTCCTCTTCTTAGATATCAGGGGCGGTTGTGTCTAGTACTCAAGAAAACATGCACTTCGCAATTCCAGATGCCCAAATCTCCACAGCCCCAGCCGAAACTTCAAAATCAAATGTCGAACGACGCTTGCGAGTTGCGGACGTTCATTCTAGCAGCGTGCAAACTCTTGCTAAATCAGTCTCTTGTCAAGTGGACGCGAGGCGGCCAAGAGTCTATCAATGCAGCCCTCACAGATTTTTCCGATAACCAAAAACCCAAACACGGCACTGCAACGCAGAAGCCCTGACTTCTCCGCTTCTTGAAGCTTCTACGTAACAAGTGTCGGATTGTCGGTATTCACGATATAAGGACTCTATTGCAGGAGTTTCCATGGGGAGGCAGCCAGTTCGAGACCGCAAAACGAAAAAGACAGCCTTGGCAACCGCGGTGTCGAATCCGAAGGTCCGGTCAAACAGCACCACATCCTGATGCCAATTGGGAGTTGTGCGGTGTTGAAGTTTGGTCGTACGTTGTGTGAGGGCTTGATGGAGTTGTCATGAACTAGCATTCAAACTTTCTCTGTACTCAGTAAGATCTGCGGGAAACGGCGGCCAGACAGGGCCAACCAGCAGACGACCAAGCAATGCAGCGTCTGTCCAGCAGTCAAGCAACATTAGTGCACTCCGTAGTGATCGCCGGTGTGAACATGAACCCCATGTTTACAAGTCAATGCTCTCGAGCTTGTCTTCAGTAGCAGCAGTGGCAGTAGGAGGAGGAGTAGTGGTAGTAATAGTAATAGTAGCAGCAAGGATGAGAACAATAATGGCAGGGTGTTGAAGCGGCAGCATCATGTTGGTCCAGGCATCGTTGTCGATCGACTTCGGAATGCCCACGATGCTCACGGCAAGACGTCGCTTTCCTCACTGTCTCGGTTTTAAACGGAGCAGGCTGGTCAGAAATACTGAAACCTTACACTACGAGGCAACCATGCTGGCTCCCAGCAAAGGCTCGAGCTGCCTCGTACAGCAAGTGCCCTGCAAACTGGGTACCATCCCCGCCCACCAAGAAGAGGACGGTGATGCCTGCAAACTGTGCGCGGGATTCCATGATCTGAGGATGTGCAACGCCGTTCGTTCGACACGACACCGCCAACGGTGCCAACGCTGAGTATATCTTGTGTCTAAATGTGGAGTCTTGGCGCTGAGGTGATCCAGCTCAAGAGGTATTCCACGCCGTTTTATGAGTTTGCTGCAAGGTTTCGCAACCTTGCGTAAGGGCCATTCACCCGGAAGCAGGCCGACCCTGTATCAGGCCACGACACCAAGCCGCTGCAAGTTGTCACAGATCTTCTCGGCGTCGAAGCCGCCCCTGGTGACAAGTCTCCAGTCTCTAGGCTACCTTAAGATCTTTCGCATGTGCTGGGTCGGTGCACGAAAACCAGATTGATGCTCAAGAGCATAGCATGGCAAGGCCCGAACTTGATGAGTGATGAGTAGGGTGTAGGGGCGTTTAGGGCCTCGCGGCTTTGATGATGCTTCCGCCCTTCATGTGGATGTCGCGAACCATCTCCTCTGCGAGCTTCACGGGAGGATGGGTCTCCGGATCACTGAGGCCATTGTAGCCGGCGGTGATCCCGAGAATCTCGCGAACCCCGTACTCCTTGCGGTGGGGGCGCAAGCGGCGAAGTCAGAAAGACGGCACTAAACCCAATCCGTCGAGAAGTCCCCGAATAACACCCTAACCCTCTTTGCCAAGTCACATTCCAGAGGCACTTCGTCACGCCGCGAATGATGGAATTCAAGCCTGGGCAGAGCCCACCGCAGGTGACCACGGCGGCCTTGACCTGACTCTGTTTTCTGAGCTTCCAAAGCAAAAGAGGGAGCACTAGAATAGTGAATAGGGTTCTCCTGTCCTAACCTACAGAAATCCCTCAATTTGGCATGTAGGGCTGCAGGGGGGGCCACCTGACCTTGTTGGGCTCCCAGAAGAGCTGCCGCGCAGCATTGGCTCCTCGGGTGTGTGTTCGCCATTTGTGATCAGGTTTTTTTTTGAACCCCTTTTTCCCCTTCGCAACTAGGGTCAGCGGAATCCACGGTCGTGGAAGGCTTGGTTTGCCCCTCACTCCATCATAGCTGATCAGGGTTTAGGCTGAAGGTTTAGATTTCAGAGTGGCCTAGGGCTTTTCGGTTTTCAGTGCAGTTTGGGTTGTTCAAGGGCTGTTGGTGTCTAAGAGGGACTGTCGCCGGACGATCCAGCAGAGGCTGTTGCTCGAAGCCACTCTGGTCTATCGTGTGAAGAATATACACGCCAAAGCAACTACTAGTCTGGAGAAGGAGGCATGATTATGCAATATGAACAATACCTAGCCTGTAAAACCGGGTTTCTGATCTCTGTTGTCGGATGTTGTCGGCTTGGCTGATTCGCATCTTGCCGTCCCTTCCCACCCTGCAAGGCCAAGGAACGCAAGCAACCGGAGCTCAGCAGCGGGTTCGGCTTCTGCGACTCCTTTTCCGAGTTCTGGATGATGTTGCCTGCGACCTGAGAGCTCAAAGTTGGCCGGGATTTCGGCCAGTCTCAGTGAAAGTGCGTGTGACAGCATCAAGTACCTCTTTCCTTGGGCTCAAGACCATCTCGCTGGAGTTGATAAAGGACATGTCCTCAGTCGCACAAGAACCGCTGGAGGATCCCTGGCTGTACAACAGTAACAGCAGATGAAGGGGCAACATCGTGGATGTTGCTAAGGGCAGCCCTTCTCTGAGAGATTGACATATTTAATTCCTTGTACTGTACCCACCACCATGAACTCCTGACCCATACGTTCCAGCAGCGGTTCATAAGAGGGCCCGCCCTCACAGAAACACACCTGCACTCTACTCCAAGCTTGGAGGTTCATGGGTAGTTATGAGTAGGGTTATAAGTAGGACAACTATAGTTATAACCCATATTAAAGGACTTCTACTTGGTAACCCCGCTGAGAAGTACACATGAACCTCCAAGAGGTGGAGCCCGAGGGGCTGGAAAAGCTCGAGCCATGGGATTGGAGACTTTGTTCACGGAAGGCTCATCCACGGAGCCTCTACCGGAAACAGATGTGTCTCTCCGCTGGAGGGGGCGGCCTCTTGTGTAAAGGCTGCCTTGCCTTGCTGGGAAGATTCCTGGTATGTCAAGGATCCTACAGGATCTGCGTTGAGGTTGATTTTTGGCCTGAAGGCCACATCAAAACACTGAAGCCCCCGCAAAGGCGACTGGCTCGCCTGGCTCGTCATCCTGCCACGTCGCCAAATGGCATCTCCTGTACGATGAGTTGGATGTGGAGATGTCTGAGGTCAGTCTTGGCCAGTTTTGATGTCTTGAGCTGGTGGTCGGCTCAGGGAACGAGTCGTGTGCAGCATCCCAGGTCTAGCTGGGTTTGGAAACCGACACTCCTTGCCACTGCAGCAACTCCCTAAACCTTCTGAATCCCAACCCCCAGAGCCGAAGCTCCATTCAAGCATTCATCCCGCCTCAGATCGGCTGAGTCGCTGAGCGGGGCGGCCATGGTCAGGAGAGCTAGAGGGGAAAGCGCACGGGTATATTGCTTCCTATGAAAGGTTTCTGCAGCATACCCCTGGAACATACCCCTTGGAAGAGGCAAGGCATGAGAAAGACAATACAAAGTCAAAAGAATTCGGCGTCCGTCTCGCCCCGGACCAAGGGCGTGCCTTTTCTTTGCCATCGTAGTTGTGAGCTGTCCGCCGGAAAGCGGTTGCCTTGCAGTTTTCTGCCGGAGGCCTCCGCCTGCTTGCAAGACTCTCCTGTCTCGAGGCAGCATGGAGGCCTCCCGGCATGGCCGGCCCTGATAACCGGGTCCGTATGGGGCGTCTCCGCAATTTGTGGCCGATGCTAAAAACGTCTAAACGAATGAATATCAAGACTTCATATATGACCTTGACTGACAGTCAAATTGGATAAGCTTACTCACGCATCAGCTTGAATTAAAATGGATAGATTGGCAAAGGGTTGCCATTGAATGCCTGCTGTGTCGCAAGTTTGTGAATCAAGCGGTTTGGTCGGAATTGTATGCCATAGTGTGTTTCTTGGTCGAGAGCAGCCCCAGCCACCCTGCCGGAACCGCGATTGCTGATTGAAATGCCGTTTAGCACTTGTCGATGCCAAGCTGTTCAGGGTATGTTCCTGGAGCTTGTTGCAACATCGGCCTTTTTACGCCGACATTTTGCGTTGACTGCTGATGCGATTTAGCAATTTTATTAGTAACATTCCGAGGCTGAGGAAAGGGAGACAACAAACACGCAGATCACACAAAATACAACCGGCAGCAGAGATGATCTCGAAAAGCTGAAGCTCACCTAGAAGACTATGCGTCCTAACTGCAACTGGATATCGCTGGGAAATGCTGCGGCGAACAGACCATTGCTGCATTCGACAGGTTGGCTCCGGGACGAAGCTCTGCTTAGAATGAGACTCGGATGTTGAGAGTTGCGCAACTTCGAATGTGAGAAGCATTTCAGGTGTAACCTGCATGCAAGTACGGCACCAGAGTTTTTCTGCCCTGCAGAGATGGATAGTCGGAAAAATCAATCGATTTTGCACCCTCGCGGGTGAGTTGTCAGAGAGCTCTGACGATCACGTTAGCTGTCGGTGAGGTATGTGACGTCGTCGTACGGATGTCCTTGGCCGGGGCTCTACAATAACATGCCTATAGACAAACACAGTCTGCAGAATAAGATACAAGATATAAAAGATAGGTTAAAGAGCACATCTCGGCAGCAAGCTGTATCCTGACAGCTTCGCCTATGCCTAACAGAACCAAGCTCGAGAACCCGAAGTCCCGACGGTCGAAGCGAGCCGAGGCTCTGTAAAGGGGCTGCTTCAGCCGCCTCTGATCCAGGAAATGTCCGACCAGGCCAATAGTCCTGGACCTGACTCCGGATTGAGGGTTCAGGGTACACCCAGCCGGGCTGCTGGATCAACATCGGCGTGGCTGGCATAGGTGAGGAGACTTCAACCCTGGAGCATGATGATAGATAGGGCTACCTTGGACGACCGCAAGTTGTGTCACCTTTGCCTTTAGTGCCACAAGTGCATTATACGGTCCACCAGCCATTGATCTGAACTCAAGGCAGCGGCGAGACGAAGAGTCCGTTCAGAACGCCGTTGGAGACCAGCTCATCTGCCTCGCTCCTGAAATGCACATCGTCCACACTGGTGTGCGAGGGAAGGTTTTGCAAAAAGCGCAGTAGCTTCCTGGCAGGCTCGAGTCCTCGTGAAGGCACCGCAGCCACGCAGCAAGTCCACAAAGCAAACGGCAATGCAGCCGTCGACGTTGAGGATTAGATTTGCCTGGAAGCTTTCTACTCTACTGCAGATTGCTCAGCCAGCTGTCGACTGTCAGACAGCTCTAGCAAAAAACAAACACAGATTCGAATCTAGTGGTACGTATGCATTTGGGGTATGTCAATTTAATGTATGTATTATGTATGTATGTATTTATGTATGTATGTATGCATGGATGGATGTACGTATGTGTGTATGTATGTGTATATGTATGCATGTGTATGTATACTGTATGCATGCACGTAAGAATATGTCGATCAAGCACGGCTTGCCTTCTTTCTGGTGGTTATCTGTTCCACCGCCAAAGCAAAATCAAGGAGCGGCGTGGCAGAGAAGTTGGCCTTGGCCTTGGAAGGGTTCCAGGCTGGGGTTACTGGAAGCAATAAGGGTACCATAGGGGCCTTAATAATTAGAATAGGATTCCTTTAAAGGGGTCTATAAGGGTTACTATAAGGGATCTATAAGGATACTATACTATAGGGGCCTGAATAATTAGAATAGGGTTTTGGGGCCCATTATACTATAACTATAATAAGGAATCCCTACATCCCTACATTAACTCTGGGGTCTCGGGTTTGCGAGAATGCACTGCAGTTCTTTAGCCGGCTACAGGGTCCGACCCTCGGCTGACATTTGCTGACACACAACCGCCTGCAAGCATGTGGCCTGGGACAGCCGTAATTCCCCACTGCACCTACGAGCCCATGCGTAGTCTGCTCTAGCTGGAGCCGACATTGGCATACGTAAGCTGAGGCAGGCTCGTACTCCTTGATGAGAACGACTCGCGCGTCCGGGTTGTCTAGCGACTTGACGCGATGGCCGATGCCCATGATGACTGTCTTGTCCTGCTTACCTTTCATGTTGGCACGGAGGGATCCAGAGCACCTAGTATCCTCGTCGCTCTCCCGAGGTGCTTGCTACCTCCTACCGCCTGCTGTGATTCACGGATATCAACGTCTCATTCCAACAGAGGTACAAGAAGAGACTTCTTGCTCATCACAAAGGCGAGCAGCACTTCTCCACAAACTCGGCGGCCGTGAGACCACCGTCCAAGGCAGAGGCAAACATGCGTGCCGCGTCATCAAGGGCACCCCCGAAGCGAGGACCTCCAGGTCTTAGGTGAAGAGACAAGAGATCAGCTGGGACAATAAAGCTCCACCGCACGAAAGCAAAGTGAATTGAATGGCTGTGAGTGTGGTTCTTCACCGCATCACACAGAACGGAACATCCCTGCTTTCTTCTATTCAGAGATTTTCTGGATCTGCGCGCCGGGCCTATGGTCGCCAAGCCGGAGATGAGAGAGGACACCAGATCCTTCCCCGCCCGCGCTGCCACGATGGTGTTGTGCCTTTGCTCGGGCCAGGCAACTCTACAACATGCACAGAGTCCGCGACTAATCAACAACAGACCGCCAAACCAACTAAGCAAACGCTTGGAATCTATATTCAGGAACACACACAGAATAACACACAGCGGCAGGCTGGCAGGCAGGCAGAACAGAGCCGGCTCGCCCGTACATCACATCTACACCCGCCCTCGCTTGAATGTGTCATGGTGATTCATGGTGTAACCGCTTCGTACTGGTGTCAATATTCCCGAAGCAATGCGACTCTACGACCTCTCTACGAAGCGGCTGAGCATTGGCTGTCCATTTCGCCGCCAAGCACAATACTGATGTTACGAGAGCTTGGTCAGAAATGAACTCTTGTCGACGCACCAATCTGAGAGGTTCCTTCATCGATTTATCGTCCGAGACGCGCGCCAGACACACACGGGCCATGGTCTGCGGTCGCGACCACACCTTCACAAGCATCGGTTGTGGAACCAGTCAATGTTTGTGGGCCCACAAGTTTCGGAATGACTCGGGGCTTGGGAACTTCCTACAACATCTCGCGTTCGCGAACATTACGTCACTTAGGCGTGTCGCGCGCTCGAGACTGCCCAAGACTATGGCCTCCCACCACGTTACATGTACTGCTGATGATTGCATGTGCTTTTCACTGGTGCACTGAAGCACCCATCAGCCGGAGCACATAGCTCGATGAACTTGGAGACGTATCGTGGCAGTCTTTTCCTGTCCGACGGATCTGCAAAGCATTGCTCACGTCTGCACCAAAGCAAGATCACGACTTGAACAATGGTTAAGACTTGAATGTGGCACGTCCTTTGCGTTTGGTTCGAAGCTGGGTTTTGCAGAGTGTCCCGGGCCCATCTACTGCAAGCCTGAACCACAGCAGCGAAATAGCGCCACCAATGCCGAGTTCCTGGATCGGCCACATGCAACCATCATTGCTGTGTCTTGTAGAACTGATGTGAATCA